TAAAGTTGCCTTTTGGCAACTTGACCATAAACACATTTCCAAACTTAAATAGGCGGCATCAGCCTACCTGTGGAAAAATGACCACAATGACACGCATGCAATAAAAAGGGTGGCATGGGAGACTATAGTACAACCCAGATCTCAAGGCGGCCTTGGGGTTATCGATCCAGAGGAGGAGATCAAAGCCCTTATTTTCAAATTCCTCATGCGCCTCCTACTTGGAAACGACATCCCTTGGGCCGCATACGCACAAATCCAACTGGCTTGCTTAGCCCCCCCATCCCACCCCCTCCGCCCGGTACATCCCTTCCAATGGCTAACAAACAAGTGGTGGTCCATCCCTCGCAGACCCCGATCAGACACTGATAACACTCCCGCAGGTCGTGCTAGGCAAGATCTGCGAGTGGATCCGTTGTGGACAGCCATGCTTGCCCTTGGGAGGGAAAGGGGTCCGGCCCAAACCCAGGTGCCACTCAAATGGGAGGAAATATGGCGCCAACCTCTATTCGGCCATCCACAAATTGTGGACCGCAATGGCCTACCCCTGTCCCTCAAGGGAAAATCCAACTGGAAACGATGGGTGGATAAAGGAGTCTACAAGGTAGGGGACATCTGGGACATCCCCTCCGGGTCATGGGCGTCGGTGGACCAACTCAAAACGGAGACAGACCAGATCGCAAACATGGCCTGTGGCTTACTGGAAATCCAAGAAGCGATCCCGTTGGCATGGATCCGCATCCTTAAAATGGGTCCCAGACTCGTCCGGGATGACTGGGTGGTGAAGACAGATTCCCTGACCCTTCCCATGGTCTTGTATAATGTACAAAATGTCGGGGAACAACTGGTCTCACTCCAAGCTTACTGTCCGGCCATGCCAGGGGCCAGATGGTCGACACTGCAGCGGCAAGAGGATCTGGACTCACAGCTTCCTGCATCCTGTCTCACTGCGGTCAGGGTGGTGGGGAACCAAAAGGATGGTTTCTTCCAGTATGAACCCTCCACCCTGCTACAGTGCCTCCCATTCGACCCTTCGGAATGGGAATGGAAATGGGAGGGATCCCAAAAGATGACTCTCTACCAATACACAGTAAAAAACGGCTACAGAGCAGCGCGCAAACCAATCAGAATTCTCGACCAAATCACCAAACGTTGGGAGCAAGATTCCCCCCTCAAAGCCCAGGACTTTGACCTCTTTCGCTGGTCCGCATTCTCCCACATCCGTCCGACTAGCCATAGGGCCCTGCAGTGGCAAATTATACACAGATGCCTGCCTACCCCGGACTGGATTACATCACGAACGGACCTGGAGGAGAAAGGACTGCTGTCCCCACTGTGCTCGTACTGTTCCCACACGCCGCCCAACAGAAGAGCCACGTTAGAACACTGCCTGCTGGACTGCCCTATGGTGCTCCAAGTGTGGAGGTGGTGGGATGCAGTGTGGCACTATCTCACAGACTTCCACCTCCCATGGGATGTGGCCACTCTCTTGCTAAAGGCCGCCCCAGCAGGGGTTGGGGAGTGGACCCCGTTCACGTCCAATTTATTTGCATACTCCAGACTCGCCGTGCTCATGGCAGCCTGGAGGATGCGCTGCTCTTACGAGAGGAAACAACACAATTTTGGATACATGCAAGCTCGATCAACAATAATTGACACAGTAGCTGCCAAAACTCAGGCGGCCTACAAAGAACTGCACAACCGGATGGCTGTCGAACCAGACACTGACAAAAGACAGAGACTCCGGTCCTCCTTCGTAGAGACATGGACGGACTCAAACCACAGACTCTGCAACCTCAATAACGACAACACACTAACATGGCACCCCTGGCCTCAGACTGAAGCGGTGTGGGAACGCCTGCCAACGCAGCACTTTCAAATAGTATATCAACCGACAGACTTTATCCTCATCTGTGACTGAGGGTCCACTGCCATCCCAACTACTACTCGCCCTCCCCGCCACCCCCCTCCCCCCCCCGTTTTTCCTCACCCTTCCCTCCTCAGCCCTGCTACCCACCACCCAACTACCCAGACCTCCCCCCAAATTCCACATACACCCGCACCAACAAACGCCACCGCCCTCCCCTCAGTCACTAAGCCGGCCTGGGACAGTCTTCCTCTCTACCCTCTGTAGGGAGGCAGCCAGAATCCTACTCAGAACTGGTTGTTGCAGCCACTGGTCTGCACCACATTGTACATAACAAAAGAACTACAATCGGGACTGCATCCCGAACTAGGCGGACATTCCACAACGCGGGACGAAGTGTGTCCCCATTCAGATCATCGTGATACCATTACCAGTGAACTGTGAATTTTGCAATTATTTAGGACTTGATAAACCGCCACGACTCACTACAACAATATTGCTCCACTGCCTAAATGGCGACTGTACATAGTTATACACAAGCACGGTACTACSTTATGACATTACTACATTACTACAAACATACACAGCACACACAACACAGATCACATACTACACAAGTACTGCCAAGATGCAGGGTCTCAGAACAACTTCGTTAAGWCTGCTCACACAAGCACACATACACAGTGACACGTCTGTATTATAAACAGAAATACAGTCCACACAATACATGGCTGAATTCCCTGTGAACTTTCTGAATTCTGTACATTGGGACGCTGGGCCCGTTTCCCAGCAGGTGCTGCTCCCCACCAATAGATGGAGCCTCCCCCGGACCAGCTTGAGGTGACTGTTCCTACCAGCACCTCAAGCTGCTTCCGGGGTTGTTTTCTTTATAAAAAAAAAAAAAAAAAGAAAAAAAAAAAAGGAGGAGATTGTGTGTTGTTCGTAGGAGGTCCAATTGAGATTTCTGCATCTGCCATCTTCTCAGAATTTCCACATTTAGTTGCTGTTGGATTTGCTCTGTTACCTCCGGCCCTTCTAATTGCACTTCTTCCATCACCAGGACGCACCTTTGCCACCAAAGACCCCATAGAACTGATCTCCTGCCCAGCCTTAACATGTTTCCTACAATGTCGGGTGCATCCTGGATCTGTGGCCAATACCCTGTGAGGATAGCCCGCCATGACCACGGCCATGGTGGGTCCGGAATCATTTTTCTCCATATCCTGTCCCACCATCGCCATGTTAACTGTGCCGTGGGGCATTGCATGAACACATGTTCGATAGTTTCTGCTCTTTTCCTTGAGGAGGGGAATGCCTGCAGGCATCGCGGGCACCAGGGTAATGCCTGTCCTTTTTGTTCCAGGTTTGTGTGATCGATTAGCCAATTCATGGTCGGGAGGCAGCGGTGGGCGATTTGCCACTGTAGCGAGGTGACTTTTGCCGGCTTTGCTTTGCCTTCATGAAACCAGGGGATTGGTGTGAGGAGAGATCGATCGATATTGAGGTGCTTCGCCCACCTGTCGTTTATCGTGTCTCGCTTGTTCAGAAAAAAAACTGGTCCTTATGCGCCTGGCTCCATATCCATTCCGGGGAGCGTCAGTCTGTTTCCTATTCCGCCTGCCCACTCATCTTGTTCTGAGGGACGCCTGGGACGTTGGACCTGGTTTCCCCGGTTTCTAGCATGTGGTGGTCCCCACCAATAGACTGGAGCCTTGCACAGTCGGTCTCCGACCATGGAGGTGCTCCTACCACGCCATGACTAGTTGGCCGTCAACTGATGCCTTCAACCACCGTTACCTCCGAGCGTCTTTTTGCGGAGGTGGAAAAAAACAGAGCGCCAAGCTTTGCTGCAGCACCAACTCGACCTTTTTTTTTTTGTTGGGCTGGCACACACCGCCCATTTTGGTCTGGTAGCACTGTTCATCCAAAGAATGCAGTTTGTGCAGTGAAGTCGTAACAAGGTAGCCGTAGGGGAACCTGCGGACTTTGTGGCAAGTTGGTGTCTAAACCACTAGTACCTTTGTCGTTTTGGAAAATAGCGGGCGTCCGACCTTTCAGGAGGCCGAAACAAAACGACGGCCACCGATTAGATTTATCAATGGCAGCCGTCCTCCGGCCCCGCCTCCGAGGAACGGGCGTTTTCCCTCATTTCTGAAGCGGCAAAGCTACTAGTGGCTTAAGTTTGCCTGTGAAAGGTAGTGGTGGTACTACCAAAAACAAAAACAAAAACAAAAACAAAAAGTTCAAAAACGAAAACAAAAACAAAAACAAAAACAAAAACAAAAAGTTCAAAAACGAAAACAAAAACAAAAACAAAAACAAAGATCTCCTGTCTGCCGGCTTGGACTTGGTGGCTGGTGAAGCACCTGGCAGACTACCCATTATACCCGACAACTGAATCTGGCAAAATTTGAAATGAGTAACGAATAAAGTCAAAAACATGGAAAATCGCAAAACGCCAAAAACGGTCAGATCCCTTACGGAGTACATGACAAAAACGCAGAAGCCGTGCCTACCACAAAGACCATCCTACCATTCAACACGTTAATATGGGCCTCACTGCAACCACTTCTTTCCGTAGGAGCAGGCCGCGGTGTGTCTAGTGGGAGGGTGTGGAAGCGGTTTGTATCGCGGCAGCTCGGGAGTGATCGCCGGCGCAAGAATCTGTCCCGTTTTCCAAGAGAAGCCAACCCGTACCCTGCCCCTAAAAAGCTGAAGCAACCTTTTGTTGTTGTTTTTTTTTTTTTTTTTTTTCTGTCACTCCCACCTTTCGTCCGTTGATCCTCCACCCTCCCCCACATAATTGTGCCGCGATGCTCGTAAAAGGGCCATTCTTTTTGGAGGTGTGGGATGCGATTTTCCTTCACGGCCCAATGGGAGCGGGCCCGACTTTTCGGTTACTTTTACCACTTTCTTGTGAAAGAGACTAGTGGGATCTGACCGTAACACCTGCCTCCTTTTTTTTTTTTTTTTTTTTTTTTTAAAGCTATATTCTTCTCTCAATTTCACCTCACACTACCTACCTACCACTACTCCTAATTGTAGTATCAACTAATGGAATTTTGGAGTTGGAAAAAGAAAAAACAAATCACCCTGCTTTTAGAAGGGGGGGGGAAACAAACAAACAAAATTTTACCTCGAACACAAGAGGTGCCCATTCAGCCTCCATTTTGTCCAATGTCCTCTCTAGTGAATGTTCCTTGCTTGCTCTTTCGCTGATTTCCTCCAGCTGTTGCAAATGCTCGTCAACCTGGAAAAACAACCCGCAACATACCATGGTGCCACACAGTTTTTTGTTTTTTTTTTCATTAATCTCTAAGTCAGCGACTGATAAATAACCCAGAGGAGCTCATGTTAAAATTAACTTTCCAACCGACGGGCTTAGCTCAGTTGGTATAATACCCATAATCTGTTGAAAAGCGGACCCGAGTTCGAATCCAGATGAACAAAATTCTTGAATTACCTGGGGCATGGTCCCACTAGCAACCGGATAGGATAGAAAAGAGTTTGTGTGGCAGTTGAGTGACAGTTGAGTGACCCAAATCCTGCCGTGCAGTACTGGTGATCCCACGGTGAATATTTTACATGTATTACCCGAAAAAGTAAGGAGATCTTCGATCCCACTGGGCATGCCGGTGCAAAGGAAGCTTCCCGCCAAAATCTTTTCAATCCATTGGGGGCATGGCCAACCCCAAAAGAGAGTGGGGTGGGCCATAGCCCCACTGGATAGAAGATTTTCAGTATTTTGCTTGCTGTTGTGCAATTATCTCATTGGGTGGAGCCCTCCTTCAATCACGGAGTATATGGAGGGCGTCAGAATCACTGCTGACAGAAGTTGAGTTTATTCCAGAAAATGTGGCAGTTACTTTCTGCACTGTTGTTGCAACCACCACCATCAGATCATTTGTGATCTGATGGCTGGGAAGCACCCTGGAGTGATTTCAGGTGGGACGTCTCTGTTTCTTCTTTTTTTTTTGCCTTTCTCCAGTTTTCTCACCCCAGAAATTCGTAATGAACCTGTGAGGCCGCGGCCACTCAGTGTCACACTGGATCGGCCACATTCCTATCCGACTGCTAATGGGACCAAACCCCTGGGGCCAGACAGTTTCAAGATGATACCTCAAGGCTATCGCCCTTAAAAAAAAAAAAAAAAAGGTTAAAATTTAAAAATAAATAAACTTTAATAAAGGGATAATGTGCAAAATAGTAAAGTACCCTCATAAGTTGAGATATATGCCAAAATGCCCCTGAAAGATGTGGGTAGAGCCGAATGCCCTTTTGGGCCGAAATCTCTATGTTGTGGCCCTGTCAGGCGGCCGTGCAACTTTGCAATCTGGACCTCCCTGATTGGGCCTTGGCCTTTTGCAATAGCACCTAGGAGAAGTTGGCAAGTACTTGGGCATTTCGCAAAGTTTGACGGTACCTGGTAGGGGTATATTGCAAAGATGGGGGTCCAACCGACGCCAGGGGTATTTCACACACAAAAAAAAAAAGTCAGAGGGGCATTCCCCTCTAACCACATTTTTTAGGGCCATTTTGGCATATATCTCAACTTATGGGGGTATTTTGCCAATTATCCCATAAATAAATAAATAAATAAATAAACTTACTTTCCGAGGCAAGCAGCTACAGGCAAACTCGACAGGCATAAAGTTGTACATCCTTTTTTTTTTTTTTTTTTTTTTTGAAACATCGCTGCCGGCCGTAGTGTTTTTTATTTTGAATTTTGAGTATTTTTCACATCCCTTAAAAAAAAAAAAAAAAGCATGACAAGCACGTATTAAAAGAAAACAAAGAAAAAAACTTGAACTGCACGAGAAAGAGTCTTTCCTTTTACTGCATGAAAAAGGGGCCAACATGTCACACACTCTTCACTCTTCAGAAGTAAATCCTCTTTTTTTTGTGTGTGGGGGGGTGGGGGGTAAAAGGGCAAAAGCCAGACTGACTGCTAGGGGAGGTTGGCAATAGCAACCCTACCCAGCGGCCGTCTGGTTGCTCCAGATCTATTGGTGGGGAGCTGCACCTGCTGGAAATTGGGGTCCAGCGTCCCTATTGGATACGTTGCATCTTCCTTTGCAGGAAAGAGAAAGAGGAAAGATCTTAGGAGAGAAAGAGTGGCAGAGAGGGCAATGGATGGATGTCAAAGCGGATTACAGATTTAGTGGGAGTGTGCGTGCAAGAGGGAGCACGGGATGCATCTGTAATGATTCTGTATTTTTTAGACTTGACTGATGGGGGGGAGAACAAGGGGAGACCATAAGGAAAGGAAAGCAAGTGAGGAAGGGGTGTTTTAAAGTGCACCAATAAATGCTAGCTATCGGCCGCCGGCTCCTTTCCGAGGCGGCCCACCCACCCTCACCGCCGAATTGATTTTATCTACGGCGCTCGGCCCCCTAAGGAAGAGCAGGAAAGGCTGTTTAGGAGGGGCATGGACAGGGTCTTTTTGATATGGATGCTCTGTCTGGGGTTAGCGGCATTCTGTGAGGAGTCTGAGGATGCTGTAGCCATCCAAGTACTGAATTTGTTGGACCATACTTCATTTTATTTTTTGAACTAAAAGCTAGGCTACCAGAGTGGCCCAGCTCCACTTGCCCGGCTGGGCCAAAAAGAAAAAAAAAAAGGAAAAAAGTTTTTATTACTTTTAATTAAAATTTTTATTTTAAATTTGGTAAAGAATTTCGATGTGGCTCTGAGGCAAAAGTTGTTCAGTTTTGTTTTCACGTCCGACGGGAGCCGCCATTGCGGAACCGCAGCTCGGACGTCACTTGCGGAGGGAGCTTATAAGGTGCAGCCACCATGTCGTTCACCGCCAGGAAGAAGATTCAGAAGGAGAACAATCAAGAGCCCGATGAATTCGAGGAGTCTGTGGCGCAGGCTCTCTTCGATCTGGAGGCCACGAACCAGGAGCTGAAGAGTGACCTCCGCGATCTCTTCATCAACTCTGCCAAGGAGATCGACATATCGAAGAACCGGAAAGCAATCATTGTCCATGTGCCCTATCGGCTACGCAAGGCCTTCCAGAAGATTCATGCGCGTCTTGTGCGCGAATTGGAGAAGAAATTCAGTGGAAAGGATGTAGTCATTGTGGCGACCAGAAGGATCATGAGGCCGCCGAAGAGGGGTATCTCGGTTGCGAGGCCGAGGAACAGAACCTTGACTGCAGTCCATGAGGCGATCTTGGATGACCTTGTCTACCCTACGGAGATTGTCGGCAAGCGTATCCGATTCCGTCTTGATGGGTCAAAGATCATGAAGGTGTACTTGGACCCCGAGGAGAGAAACAGCACAGAGTACAAGTTGGAGACCTTTGGTGGAGTGTACAAGAAGCTGACTGGGAAGGAAGTCACATTCGAGTTCCCTGTTCATGAAGCAACGGCGTAGATGGTGTAGATGAACGTGTTTATGGCTTTTTTTCGCTTGTTTTTGGTTATCCGTAATTTGAGTTCTCTGCACTGTCTGTAGCTACGCCTCAGGAAACAGAGATGTGGTGTTCTCCGCGGGCAGGTGTCGTGAGAGGAAGAACGGGTCGGCTTGATTTACTCAAATTTTGATTTCGGGACTTGAAATATCTTGAGTCACACTTGATGCTTCGCATCCCCCCCCAAAAAAAAAAGTTGTTCAGTTTATTTTTCTGCATAACGTAGTTTGTTTTCGAATTTTTTGGAATTGTGTTTTTTTTTTTTTTGGGCTGGGACCTTCCCTAGTCCTTGCACGGCCGGGCCGCCCGGGAAAACAGGGCGACCCGGGCGGCCTGGCTGGTAGCCTAGACTAAAAAGTCCAAAATATATCTTTCAAGTTTAAACCAAAATAGCCATTACCTCCACAACCACACTACGTAGCTTTCAGTGGCCGCTAGCTTATTTCGCACTACCGGTCAATCAATGGCTGAACAAATGGCGATGCGCCCAACCACGGTCACCGCTACAGGAATTATGTGCTATGATGCTATCTGTCAAAAAACGAAGATGATGGAAGAGGGGCTACAATAAAATATTGGTGATTATAGAAAACAAGGGAAAAAAACATGGAGGATTTTGAAAACGGCAACGAGGATTCCAGGAGAAGGGAAAATTACGGTAATAGTCAATGATGGAATGATCATCGGTCAGTGGAGGCATCGAAGACTAGCCCAAGCGAAGATCTCAAAGTTGCCTAGAAGAAGAACCCATCTAACAAAAAGCATGCCCATGGCCTCGAGAGGTAAGGGGGACAAGAACTTACGTTCGTGCCTTACCACAAGCTCCCCGCCAGTTAAGACTAAGGTGCCCTAGGGCGTAGGGTTGATCTTCCGCTACAATTGCAAGGTATAGTGAGTACTATAGTCTATAGTCTAAGGATGGCAGGACAAAATTAGAAGTAGAACCCATCTAACAAGCATGCCCATGGCCTCGAGGTAAGGGAGACAAGCACTTAGGTTCGCGCCTTACCACAAGTTCCCCGCCAGTTAAGACTAAGGTGCCACAAATGGTTAACGGGGACCCCCATTTTCAGGCCCTGGGTAACGAGTCCAAAACTGAAATTAGGGTTTCGGGGTCTACACTCTACGAATTGGTGGCAAGTTTGATTAAAATAACCCTTTGGTTTTCTTATAAATGGCATGGCAAGTGGTCTGAAAATTAGGGTCTCCATTAACCTTCTCTCCCTAGGGCGTAGGGTTGATCTTCCCCTACGATTGCAAGGTATAGCGAGTACTATAGAACTATAGTCTAAGGATGGCAGGACAAAAGTAGAAGTAGAACCAAGCGGGGAAGATGTCTAGTGGCGTCAAAATAAGTCAACTAGGGTATAGGGCTTTTGGCAAGGATAGGAGCGACAAAAAAAAAAAACAACAGAGCCGTACTAGCCTTCCTTAGGAAACAGTTAAAGCCTTAAAGGTACCTACCAAATAAGGGGAGGAATAAGTTCTCCTCTTCAAAATAAGTCGACTAGGGTATAGGGCTTTGGCAAGGACAGCAGCAGCAAAAAGGGATAGGGTTTAGGGTTTTAGTGAAGACTACTGCAAAGGGCCAATTCAGCAGTTCTAGCAAGTAAGGAAAATCTGACAGTCAAGGAACTGAGAGGGACAGGCTGGACAGGGCCCACGCAGGCAGGCCCAAGCAACAAAGCAGCAGGGAAGCCAGACTAGCAATTTAGAACAGAAGCAAAATAGACTACTGTCTTCACCCGAATAGAACGCCCAGTCATTATCACTGTTTTTAGACTGAAAATTGGCCCAAATACAGCTATAATGACCGGGCGTTCTATTCGGGTGAAGACGGCAGGCTAACTTAGCCAGGGGAGAGGTGTGGTACATCCTTTCTTTGGAAAGTCAACAATGTTGTCCTTCGGGCCTTCCCACCATAAGGCTGAGGAGCGTGTGTGAGCACTCACTGCAAGCCTTTTTTGACTTGTCGGTGGAATAGGAACTGGACTGATGCTCGCCAGAATGGATACGGAGCCAGCCCTATAAGGTCCTCTTTTTTTCTTTTTTCTTAATAAGAAAAAAAACATCAATTTCAACCACCATCATCTCCGAGCCTCTTTTTCCCAATGTGGATTTGTACTTCGTGCCAATAAAAGATGAACCAGCACTCGTGTGTGTTTTTTCCTTTTTTTTTTTTGGACGGTGCCACCAGCCATTTAGGTCCTTTAGGCCAAGCCAGCGAGACCCAAAAAATGGACCCACCCACCTGCCTGCGTACTTTTTTTTCCTGACGGGAACTGGCGTATGATACAGTACATCTGGTAGCCGCCGTGAATGGGGTGCGTCAGATGTGGCACAAGATGTATGGGATGAGAACTAAACCCTAAACCCAATGACAAGACATCGTGACTGGATGTGTGCCAGCTTGTGTTCATTGCTCTCCAATCCTGAAGCGGTCACCAACAGAGGGTGAAAAAAAAAATGGTTGGTGGTTGTTGTTCCCAGTCATATTTTGAATATGTTTTATATTAATTGTCACATAATTTGTATGAGTCAGCGAAACAACTCTGTACAAACAGTATCTCACAGTGACACAGCCCATTGTTTGTTGTCCTTTCTCCCTCTCTGCCTACAGTTCACCGGGCAGTTCTCTATATCGATCGTCATGGAGAACTGCCCTATGAAGTGTAGGCAGAGAGGGAGAAGAGGACAACAGACGAGGGAAGGTGTCAACAAACAGTGAAAAAGATGCACTACCAGCCCCGAGAGCAGCTTTCCCAGACACGTTTTCAAGGCTTCAGGCATTGTCAAGGAGGAGAGTGGAGTGGAATGGAGTAGAGTGGAGTGGAGTGGAATGGAGCAGAGGAGAGTAGAGTGGAGTCGAGTGAAGTGTAGAAGAGTGGAGTGGAGTAGAGTGGAGTGGAGTGGAGTGGAGTAGAGTAGAGTAGAGTAGAGTGGAGTAGAGTGGAGTGGAGTGGAGTGGAGTGGAGTA